CCCGGCCCCGGCCCCGGCCCCGGCCCCGGAGAGCTGGAGGCCGCCGCTGCCGCCGCCGCGCAGCGCCGGGACCGGCCCCCCTCGGGCCGCCGGGGCCGCCGCCGCCTCGTCGCCAGTGCTGCTGCTTCTGGGGGAGGAAGACGAGGACGAGGAAGGCGGGAGCAGGCGGCGGAGGGGGCTCGGGCGGGTGGAGGAGAAGCCCCGAGGGGGCGCGGAGGAGGAGGATGACGACGAGGAAGACGAGGACGAGGAGGTGGTCGTCGAGGTGGTGGACGGCGACGACGACGAGGAGGACAGCGAGGAGCGCTTCATGCCCCTCGGCCCCGGCCGTGCGGTCCCCAAGGGCCCGGCCCGGGGCGCGTTGAAGGTGCGTGCTGGGCACGGCGGCGCGCGCGGGACCCGCCAGCCCCGGGAGAGAGACGGGCCCGGGCCCCCGGGCGAGGCGCGCGGGCTGAGGCCGGGGACTGGCGACCGGTGGAGGCCGGGCCGGGAGGGGTGTGTCAGGCGGCGCCGGCGGCAGAGCGAGGGAACTGATGAGCTCACACCTCGGGCCCCCAGCACCTTTCCGAGGCGGTCGCTCCCCAGTTCCTCAAACGCCGGGTCGGGGTTGTTGTCTGGTGTGGGTGCAGGGAAAGGACACTTCTCCCTGGCGAGGTAGGGAACTTGGAGATGGGACGAGGTAGGCGCGGGTTTGCGCCCGGTGGGGACGCGCGAGGTAAGAGGGGGTGCGATTTTATTCTTCGCGGAGGAAGCAGGAGTGTCCTCTTTATTTTGAGGGCTAGTCAAGATTATTGAAACCAGCAAGCAGCTTCTCTTGTCAATCTTTCAATCCCTTCTTCATCCAAGAACAATTGTTGATGAGTTTCCATCACAGATGTTTGTAAGGGAACCGGTAAGTCCAAAGCGAAAACCAACCCTTCGTTTCTAAATTCATTTTGCTGGCGGCTTTTGGCACTGCCCGCCCCCCACTCCCCTTTAAACTCGACATTGTTTAGCATTTTGGGTTTTTTTCCCCTCCTCAGAATTGCAGATGGGGGGGAAGGAGGAAATCGGGAAAAGTGGGGGTAATTTGGCATTTAAAATGGATGTGAGTTTCTGCTGAGAATTCTGGTGAAGTCTCTTGTGCACTGAAGCACTGAGGTCTTTCCGTTTGTGTATCTTCAGGAGATAAGGGGTTTATTATTACACAACTGACTGGCTGGGCTTTCAGGCATGCGATTGGACAAAGCAAACCACGTTGAGGTTCATGCACAGTGTATGTTGCTAAGAAGTTTTGAGGGCAGCAAGTGGTAGGCGATGAAGTTAGTGCTTTTTCTTGAGAGTGGTTCTTAAAATCAACTGAGTAACTATTTACTGGAGTTTTCAGAGGATAGTGGTATATCAGGAAGAAAAAACTACATAAACAAGTGAGCTTAATAGAGACTATTTATCTTCTGAGGCTTGGGGGAAAAAAAAAGCACCCCTCAAAGCATGAAATTGCAATTCCAAAGAAATGCTACACATCAGCATTTAGAATATCCCCAGAATAGACATAGGCACACATTTCTTTCCTAGACCACCCTGGAAGTACCAGCTCTAGGAGTGAGAAATTTTTAGCAAGTGGTCATTGGGGATGATAGTTTTTGACAGTTGCTTGTTGGAATCCAGACCGTGAGCACACTCATTTACCATGGTCTGCTAAAAAGCCTGCAAGTCACACGGCATCAGTGACATTGAGTAATGAGAGTAGTGATTCCTTAGTGTTTTAGTCCAGGAATACTGAAAATATGTCTTGTGGCTTGTAGTTTGTAACAGAAAAATTATAATTATGCTCTGTGATCAAAGTAAACCCAATGTAGGAAAAAAATCACACCTATAGAAACAGAATAACTAGGGTGTGGTCATTCACATTATCAAAAAAGACTGTTATCTCCAAACAGATTTCTGTTAACTATTTTTAAAAATGGGCTTCATTTTATAACATTTTTGTGGGCCTACAGCTTTTTAGTAATGTATATATTGAATAGTTTGAGGTATAATTATTTTCATTTTTTACTGTTTAAATGGCATCTTGACACTGTATCTGAAGAGCTTTTCTAATGGAATATAGTGGATCATTTTTTTCTAATGCGTATAAAAGGTCAACAACTTCTATATATACTTATGCATTTATTTATTCAAATATTTATTGAGCATCTCCTAGGTGCCAGGTGCTATTCTAGAACATAGAAGTAGGAAGCAGTGAGCACCTTCCAGATGCTGAAATCTAGTAAGAGGAGTTATAGCAACAATCAAATAAATAAGCGTGGTGCTTGAGATTTTGATGCATGCTATGAGGGAAATAATGATATCAGAGTCTAGGAGGAAGAAGAGAAAGCTACTACTATGAGGGAGACCTCCCTGAGGAGGGGACATTTGATCTGAGACCTGAGACATGTAGCTTGGGAAGATCTGTCCAGTGGAGGGAATTGCAATTGCAAAAGTCCTGAGGTAGGAAGGAGAAAAAGATGAGTATGGCTAGAACTTGGGAGGTACTTGATATGTCAGGGAGGTGGGTAGGAGTGAGCAACCTAGGGCTTGGTGGGCTTTTTATTTTTTTATTTTTTAAAGATTTTATTTATTTATTTGACAGAGAGAGACACAGCAAGGGAGGGAACATAAGCAGGGGGAGTGGGAGAGGGAGAAGCAGGCTTCCTGCGCAGAGCAGGGAGCCAGATATGGGGCTCAATCCCAGGACCCTGGGATCATGACCTAAGCCGAAGGCAGACGCTTAACGACTGAGCCACCCAGGTGCCCCTTGGTGGGCTTTTTAAAGGAGAATATGAAGTCTATGGAAAGTCTTAGGCAGTAAAGGCACATAAAGTAGTTTTTGTTTTTTTAAAAAATTCCTATTGTATGGATTGTAGAGGACAGCAGGGAAAAGCAGGGAGACCAGTTAGGTGGCAGTTGCTGCACTCCAGGTGGGAGGTGAGAGCAGTTTGTACTGGGTTGAAAAGAGTGGAGTTAGAGAGGAGTAGACAAATTCAGCATCTATTGTGAAGATTGACCTGCAAGTCCTTCCTGGTGAAGAACTGAGAAGCCCCAATGTAAAGGTTTATTAAATGTGTCGTTTGCTGAGATTGGGAAAACTGGGGACACAACAGATTTTTGTGAAAGAAAAATCAGGTGTTCTTTTTGGACATGTTAAGTCCGAGATGACAATTAGACATGGAAATGGGAATGTAATTGGGCAGCTGGCTGTAGGTTGTAGAGCTGAGGGGAGAGGTCAGGGCTAGAGAGAAAAATTTGGGAGTCAGCAGCATGTTGATATCATTTAAAGCTGGGGACTAGAAAGGGAGTGCAGTAGGTCAAGAGAGGACAGCCTCGGGCCAGACTTGGGCACAACACTGTTCAAGTTTGGGTGTAGGAGGAGAAGCCAGCCAAGATGGACAAGAAACTGTAGCCAGACAAGTCGAAGGAAACTAGAGAATGTAAACTCCTGTAAGCCAAGGGAGGAAATCATTCTAAAAGTGGAGAGTGGTGAACTGTGTTGAATACTACCTGGATATTGAGTAAGAGAAGCATAGGGACATATCCATTTAGATGAAATAATGTGGAACTTATTGGTATTCTTGACAAAAGAATGTGAAGGCAGTGATGTGAATGCAGTGGGCAGAGCAGTGAATGGGAGGTGAGGACATAGTGAGACATACGAAAAACTATTTTAACAAGTTTTGTTAGAAGAGAGAGCAGAGAGAAGGGGGAATACCTAGAGGGCATATAGTCTAGATTTTATTTTTTAAAGATAGGATACAGTAGACTCTAGAATAGGTCCTACAGCATTATGGGAATTTTCTGCTGTGTGTTGGGGGGGGATGCCTTCATTTTCTATTGCTGTGTAACAAATTACCACAAACCTTTTGGCTTACAACAGTTCTCACAGTATCTATGGGTTAGGAGTCGAGGTTCCACTTAATTGGACTGCTGCTGAGTCTCACATGGCTGCAATCAAGGAATTAAGTGGGCTGTACTTTCATCAGAAGGCCTAACTGGGGAAGAACGCACTTACAAGTCTATTGAGGTTGTGAGCAGAATTCATTCCCTTGCATCTAGGTCTGAGGGTCCCAGCTTCTTGCTGGCTTTTGCCTGGAGGCTGCCCTCAGCTCCTAGATACACTTTCCCCCACCTCTACTCCCCACAGTGCTCTGTTACTTGAGCTTCCTCAACATGGCCTCTTACTTCATTAAGCCAGCAAGGGGAATCTTAGCACCTGTCTTAGCAAGGTAAAGTCTCATATAATTCTCTGTAATCACAAGAACAATAATCCATCATTTTTGCCATATTCTATTGCTTAGGAGTGGGTCATGAGTTCCACTTAATGGAAGGAGATATACAGAGTAATGCCTTGGAGGAGGGTGAGGAACATTCTTGGGATAGTCACAGTGGAGGAGACCTGTAACCCAAGTACAGGGGTTGGCCTTTGACAGAAGCAGTGAAATTTCTTCCATTGAATTAAAGAGAAGGTGGAGAAAACGGGTCCAGATGTGGGTAGTTGTATATTGGTTGATGGTCAGATGAAGTAGTATTTGTCTTATGGCTTCTATTTTCCCCATGCAGCAGGAGGGGAGGTCATCAGCTGAGAGTAGAGGAGAGTTAAAGTAAGAGTTGAAGGCATGGCACAGTGCTGTGGGAGAGTAGGAGAACAAACTTACTGAGAAAGCAAATAGAGTTTCTAGGTAGTTTCAAGGACCCATCTGATGTCTATGGTTTTCCATTTATGGTGCAAGCAGCCTGTCTAGGTATGTGATTTTTTCCAGATTCATTCCACTGACTCATGTGTGGAGCAATAATAATAAATAATGTTTATTGAGTGCATACTATGGTCAGTACAAGTCTAAGTGTATAGTGTCATTTCAACTTCATTACATATCCAGGAGTCAGGCATTATTATTATCATCCTCATTTTACAGAAGTGATAAGCAACTTAAAGATACACAGGTATTAGGTAGCAGAGCAGGTGTTTGAGCCCTGGGAAGCTGAACTGCAGAGCTACCCCCCAATGCCTTACACTCTACTGTCTCTTTGTAGACAAAGCAGAGAGCAGGATTCAGCAGCGATAGGGTTTTGCCGGGTGGGTGAGCAAAGGAAAGAAAGAGAAGAGCATATTGTTGAGGAAGCTGGCACAGCTGTGACTATAATGATGGGCTATAGGATTTAAGAAAAGTAAGGAAAGGAAAGGGGTGAGGGATGGTGAAAAAGCCATAGGTCAGTGACTTGGAGAAAACAGAGTTAACCAATAAAATCAATAAAAGAATGGGAATAAAATGCAGAGCAGTTTGGATTCCAAAATATCATTAATATGAATATATATTTGCCAAATATTTATGAGCCAAGAACTATACTAAATGC